CCCCCCCTACGCGATTGAGTGCGTGAAATGTGTGAGGCTTGAAGGAAGGTCTTGCCATGTTTCCACTCTAAAACCTATTGAAACTCCATCTCATTTAGCTACTCAACTTTACTACAACTATCCCGACATTTACTCTTCCTCATTACCAACAAGTATTGCGGCTGACTATCCTTTGCTGTCCAAGGTAAGAAGTTTTTTATGTTGTTGCACTCGATATACATCCACCTCGAACCTCGTATTTGGAACGGATAAATATTTTTTCTCTGATTGCTGAATTTTCCCTTTCACTCCGAGTCTCCTAGCAGCCTCGCAGACTGCGAAACTACTTTTTTAGCGCTTAACCGGAGGTGTTTGCCCTCACCCTACCTCCTCGCTCGAAGACCATTTTCGAGAGCGTTTGATTGGGTAGCCGCTCGGTTGTGGAAGATTGATTACCGAGGAGAAAATATAGGGAGAGCCGTATTTGGCGGGGAATTTTTTCTGAAATGTTCTCCGACGTTAGAGAGTGCCCTTCCTTGAACGCCAAATCCATTTAAACTCACCAGATCCTTTTTATCGACTTTTCCGATGGCAGCTTCGGCTGTAAATCTGTCTCCGGACAGTACTGGGAGTCTCTCAACGAAATAGACGCTCAGCGGTAGAGCATAAGTCAGAGGGCGTCGATAAGTAGCGCATTTGGCCATGATTCAGCGGGAGGATGGCTATGGATATGGTACTCTGTGCTTTCAACCCCGTACCCCTCCCTTTTGACCGGAGGAAGTGGCACGCTTCTGCAGCTGTGGACCTTTCTCCCCACAAATAGCAAGGACCAGGATCAGCGGAAATGAGTGTATAGTCTGTATTAGAGATCTCCCAGCGCTATCACCGCTGAACGTTGGTCCTTCATTTCGAATCTTTTTTTTGAAAAATGAGCCTTTGAAAAATGATGCAACTTCCTCAATACTTTTCAGTGCACCATATCCCGGAGAAGTGGAGGACGTAGGTAAGCTATTAGTTTGAGCATAGAAGAATGCGTTCTTCAGACAGGACCACTACCCCGAAATGGGTACATTCTCCCGAACCGCCATGGCCTCCATGTCGCCCAGTCGAAGTACACAGCCACGCCCTTTCCATCTGCGGGATATGATATGTACTTGAGTAGAATACTCTACAAGTAGGGAACCTCATACAACTCAGTTGTCCTCAAAATCACGACCAAATTGTGCTGCACAATTACAACCTGTTGACAGCGCAGCACTATGGAGGCAGGCACTCGGCTGATCGTTCTAAGTAGAGAGACCCCTTTTATTGTTTGTTTCATTTCAAATTTCAATGTATAAAAACTAATAGCTAAAGTAGAGATCTGCAGTCATACGCATGTATGTGGTGCGTCTTGCAGGACCACATAGATAAAAAAATAATGAATCCCAACTCTAGGTGATAGCCGGAGAATACAAGAAGGGTGAGCCCTACAGCAATACTGTCACCCTGAACACTAAAGGTGGCACGAGCTTCCTCTCGTTCGCCAAAACCAACGAGTTCAACAAAGGTAACACTTAAATCTTCGTTTGAAGCTTTAGCATGATTACTACAACTTTTTTTAGATCTCTATGATGGTGTTGTTGCCCCAACCTTAAAAGCGGACCTTATTGCCGAGACATGGCGCCGCGGATCCGAGGTTACCTATCTTGCAATACTTGCAAATAATTATATTTATAGCGTATTGTTCTCCCTCCTGTTCAGGTGCCGCTTGAATGCTCCCTCACTTACCACACCAACGATGCCCTAGAAATACAGGTTTATCATTACTGCGCCTCTCAAATCTACTCGAATATGCGAATTTCAATTCGACTTTAGGTGGGAGCGACGTCGGAGTTCAAATACACAAAAGATCACTCGAAACTGGCTCGATCGACGGATTCCACCAAGCCGTGGGTCTGCATCGGTGACATCAACCGGATGGTTTGTTCGAATTTTATCAAACAAATCTAGCAATTACACAAGGGAAGTGGTAGTTGCTGGCGGTACTGGAGTAGGGGTCGTATTCGCTCTTAGTTTCAATGACATTCAACAGCAGGTCATCACCGAGGGGATGGAGTCCAAGGGGAGAAAGGTCCATCCAGGGAAAAATTTCTCAGAACGCAGTTATGTGCCCTGTTCCTTTAACACACCTCATTTTGACGCTGCAAGGCAGCGTTCAGACTTCGCGACGGCAGCGCTTCGGTCGCGCGTTCGACGCGATCGATGCGCATGCTTTCGACTGCATTGATCGCGTCGAACGCGCGACCGAAGCGCTGCCGTCGCGAAGTCTGAACGCTGCCTAGAGCATGCTTCGCATAAGGTTCCTCTCAAGACTCATTCATTCAGCGGCAACCTTTGCAACGGGACCAGGCATGCAATCACGACACCCATTCTTTCTCAGAAACTCTTACAACCCTCCACAGCTTCTCCACCTCTTCCACCCATCCCTTCTCAAGTCTAGCCAGAGTGCTGCGGAGAAGGGATCAGGAAAGAGGAGCAAAGGAACTCATCAAAACGGGCCTACTCAGGATCAAGAAGTCTTTTCCATGAGGGTGGCTAGATACGTAAGCAGTGAAACTACATATATAATTTTTGAAATATTAACCAAGGTACTTAATTCGTTTCTCTGTGAATTAGCTCCAGTATAATCGAACATTACTTTTCTGGGAAGTCGTAAGATGTGTGAGTGCCCTTCACAACTCGAATTTCTAAAAATTTTGACAGCCTTTTCCAACTCAACATTTACCCTTACTCTGATATTTATGGAATCGAGAATTGCTAATCTTAACGTATCAGTTTCTACTACTAGATGGACTCAATTCGATGAATCACACTTCGTTGAGGAAGATCCTGGCAGGCAGGCCTTAAGAGATGCCAAGTGATCTCTGCAGTATTCCTGCAGTATGTTACCGTACACCGCTCCAGCTAAAGCGCCACCCCCAATCAAAAGTGCGCTGGGATTTGTTAAGATTGCGCTCATTTCCTTTGAATAATTGAATAACCGGGAATGTCAAATTTTCTCGTAATTTTTCCCACTCACGAAACAAAATACAGTTTTGCTTGCTGCGGATGAGGGGCGTATCAGTGGAGATGGGTTTGGCGTGTCGCCAGCCTGTTCTCTACCACCTGTTGAAGAGGTTAAGTGCATAGTAGATGGAAAACGAGTGATGCAAACGGTATAATACAAACATTTTTTTGGTGGAGGCAAAAAAAAGAAAGAACGGGTTGGCGCCGTATCAGACTCTTCCCCCTTGCTTCCCTCCTCCCCCTACGATCCGCAACCTGCAAAACGCAATACAGATGGGATTTACCGTTATATTTTGTATTTTCGTTTATCACTTCCACAACTAGTATGAGAACTGTTAACTTTCATACCCTCTTGAGTCAAAAACTCTAATGTACTCGACTAATCAAGGCATCTTATACATATCTAAACCTCATTTCAAGAACGAAAATCGATGGAAGATTGAAAGTAGACCCTTTCAAAAATTGTAAACCATTTCGAACTAACTCCCTTTTTATTTCAGACTAGCCAATACGTTCGCGGTGGCGGCACAACATGTCTATCAAGCACGTTTGTCTGGCAGGCATTCAACGTCATAAAGGACGAAAATCGATGCTGAATCTAGAATAAATATTGTTTTCTTTCCAACGAAAAATATTTTAGCCGCATTTCCATACACAACAAATAGCAGACGGCATCTAATACAGCAGACTGATTTCTCTTGCCGGCTGGCACTTGTCGAAACATTATTTTGACTCCCATCCCAGAAATTCATCACAAGACCGGAAACCATCTTGCTAGGGCTGCTGTTCTATGGGCGCGCGTTGTACTGCTGAACCGTTGTGCCGAAAATCGTGTAAATCGCCTATGTAGTCGTTCTTCACGACCACATCTGCTAATCGCCGCAAATGGTAGCAATGCTCTTCAGCTGGAACAGCCGCTTTGTGTGGAGCGCTGCTTCGCATCGTGCGACGAAACAGGCATTGCAGGCGGGGTAACGTACGCCAGATTCGCACCAGGACCCAATTAATGTAGCAGTGTTGCAGCGCGTCAGCTCTCTCCATTCTCCCTGCGTCCTGTGTCTAGTCTCTACGGTCGAGCGGGTTCCTTTCTGTTTGTCTGTCTAGGATGCTCAGTTGGTGCGCAGATGCCGCATCTCGGACTGAAGTACGGCACCAGGTTGGGTGAAATGGCGGAATGAATGCGCATGCCGCCCCCCCCCCCCACCCTCTCGCATAATTTATTCTACAGGGCGACCATGTCTCAGATCCGACCTACCATCTTGCTTCTTCTCTCAACACCACCTGATTTCCTGAGGAATTCAGTGATTTTTTCGCCAAGTAAGTGACGTAAGGCATGGGAGAGGTAACGGCGCGCGTGAAACTGAAGAAATCACAACCGGAAAAGCTGCTCCGCGACTTGGAAAAAAATTTAGTTTCGAAGAAGGCTCCATTTCCCAGGGACAAAAGGGACTCCTTTGGTACGACTCTCCCCGTGTTGGGTGTGGAGTATTACTTCGGTGTTCACTAACACCGAAATAACGGATCCTGTGTGGAGTAGCTTCCGGTGTTGTGCTCCATGTGTGCCTCGGCAAACACCAGAGTGATTTTCTAAAGCGAAACTCCCCGTGGAGGGCGCTTGCCCATACTTTTCATCATTTTTGGCCTCGTATTGGCATACATATAGGCAACATTTCTTGTTTTCCTACGAACTCGTGGCCAAAATGGGCGGTCCTGAACATGTCACTGCCATGGCGATCCAGCCGGGATGGAAAACTGTCACTCACTATTACGTACTTGATTTTCCGCTGAGTTCGTGATGTACCGAGCGAATTACTTTGGACCTCTTTCTGATGATTATTGGTCCCTAGAAAGCTTCGTTGCGTAGCCAAGCTTTCCAGTTAACCCTCAGCTGTAGCGCGTTCATTTTAGTACAGAAGTTCCGTCATCTCCTTTTCATTAAATTCAGGATGGCGTCTGAAGCGAATTCCTTCGTGAAACTCAAGCTGCTGTTCTCGATTCAAGAGGGCAAATTTTGTGGGACTAACAATGATTCCGTAATCGTGAATGCCCCAAATATTCCGGGCGTAGAGCGCTACTTCCGTGTCGGCGGCTGAAAAGACATGCGTGGGGTGATGTGAGTAGCACTCACAGCAGGACCTAATCCACTCAACCCGCCATCAGTGCCTGATATTCTGCCGCATTTTACGAAGTGGAGCTGTTGCAAATAGCATTTGATCCACCACCATTGAGCTGTTAAGGTGGTACAATGAAAATCAGCAGGTAATTCAGCGCATAGTTCGTCGGGCGATGCCTATGACCGGTTTGACGAATAGATATACAGGGGGGGGGGGGCCAAAAAAAAAAAAAAAAAAAAAAAAAAAAAAAAAAAAAAAAAAAAAAAAAAAAAAAAAAAAAAAAAAAAAAAAAAAAAAAAAAAAAAAAAAAAAAAAAAAAAAAAAAAAAAAAAAAAAAAAAAAAACAAAGAAAAAAAAAAAAAAAAAAAAAAAAAAAAAAAAAATAAAAAAAAAAAAGAAAAGAAAAAAAAAAAAGACTTTTTTCTTCCTTGACTTTCGAGGCGCTATAAGTTACACTTTATTGAATTCTTATCGGATATTTCCACCACCATATTAAAGAGCATATCAAATACTATTATGATACTCCGCCACAGCCTTCTGGAGGAGCGCCATCGAGAGATTCTGCCACGCGACCGTGAGTGGGTGCCTGAGTTCAGCGAGATCGTTGATTTCTCCGCCACTGTAGACCACCCTATTGAACTCCGCCCGAACCAGGTAATTGAGGGGGTTTGGGTCAGATGACCTGCTTGAATATTCCACCTTCCTCAGGTACTCAACGCCCCTCCATTCCAAGTAGGCAAGAGTTTTTCCCAACGCCCTTCGATTCCATGTGGTGGCACCCAATGCTGTAGCAGTACAAAGCAAGAAGGTACGGGCGACGACATGTGGGGAAGATATTCTTCTTGAGTTGGTCGAGGTAACCGCCAGCGCTCAGCTTCAGCCCGGGGTCCACGAAGAAAATATTGGTCTTTCCATTCCAGGTGCGTCCGGTCCATACCATCAACCCGCGCCTTGGCGACTGCCGTGAAGATGATGTCCTAGACCGTAGCCGTAGCGACGTTGTCGGAGCTCTGATGTTGGAGGTCTTCCAGATTGAGAGTACTGGTCTCCAGGTAGCTACCCATGGGTGACTCCACACTAGAAGTTTCGCAGTTTGGAGGTGACATGAATTCCAAAGGTCTTCTCCAGTCAGGCTGCGACTGGAGATGACTTCATATTTTGGTGTACATGAAGGTGATGGGCGAGAGCCAGCTCCTGCTTATAGAGGAACATCTTGGGTATCTCTCCCGCCCTGGTACTCGTATCCACGTCTTCTCTCTGGGCTGCGAAAACTTTGCTGATATGTGACTCGGTCGAAGTGACTTTTTTTGCCCCCCCCCCTGTATAATAGTCATTTCGGAGGAAATATGAAAAGACATAAATGGGAATGTGACAAGGGGGACACCTGTTCCGCACTCTGGCACCGGAGCTTACGTCGCGCAGTGTATCTACATAGGTAAATGGGAGATCGTTGATAAGATATTTTTCTATGAATAGGGACAAGAGGCAAACCACCCATTACAGCACCGAAGTGACGCGAGAGTGAAGCCATGCCAAGAAGCGCCATAGCCTTCTACTATCGCGAACCCGCTGCATATTTTGTAGGGTTGAGTAATTCATATTAGCAATTTGGGCGCAGTTCCATGGAGATCATCGCTTGACATCGGAAGACACCAACCGTCCAGATAAGGACTTACAGTTTCTCTCTTTACCCCACCTTACAGATCAGGCTGGTAGCGAAACGTCTTGTAGTCCCAGACAGGACGATTTGAAGGTCTCTGGAGTCTCTAAAGTCTGACAAAGGTGGGATTGAGGTCGAGTTGAAGTCGGCGCACCCGATGATAGCGTTGTCAAAGAACCAGATAAAGTTAATAATCTCGGTCACCCCTCAAGTTAAGGGCACCCCCTCACGTCGTTATTGAGTACCTCCCAAGAGGAGGGAGGGGCGTATTTGGGTCGCTGCGAGAGGGATGCAGCTCGCTGTTGGCGCGCTGGCATGATTTTTTTGGTAGTTGCTTTCTCTTGCTTCAAGCATGTTGTAAAGTGGAAGGGGTCGTACTTGTGGGAAAGGGGTCGTATAATAGAAAATAACCAGTAGTGTTAACGTCGTGGTTGGACTCAATCCATCCCTATGGAGATTCCCCCCCCCCTCGCCCGACTAAACGAACAACTGTATACTACTAATCCGTCACTCTATGCGTAATACCACGTTCAGGGATAAGCCTCAGGTTCTGAGCCCGCAGTGTCTCTTTTGGCCCTGTCTTTTAGTCCCTGTAAAAAGGTGGTTGTTGCTCCCAACTATTAGCTCGATACTGACAGCCAGTGCAATGAAACGGCTCAAAAAGCCTGTCAGCGACTCCATTTACACCATAACTGCTATTTATAGCTGCGATTCGTCGTGCGAAAGTTATCGCAAGAGTTCTGATTTATGGGCAGGAGAATTGACCTAACCGGGACTTTCTGGTTAGAATCAATCTTCTCTTTCTGCTGAACGAGGTTTTTAGATAGAATCTCTTTTCCACCTGACGTTACCGTTTCATCTTCTTCAAAGGTCAAAGATTTCGCCGATCGTGAGGAGCTAGTAAGGCATGGTGATTAGAGGAGTGCAAAAACGGCCGGCTTTTAATAATAACTTCCCTTGGTCAGTTTAATGGAATCAAAACTTTGAAATAGATTCTCCATGTTTTGAAAGCACTTTTATATATAACCCCCATGAGTCTCACAAAGTCTCATCAAATTTAGGAATTGGAAGGAATTTTCGAATAAGAGGTCACCGTTTCCCCAGCAGTTTTCTTTGGCCGTTTTAGATTCAGTGTCATTTCTACTCCGTTTCTTCGGAACGTTCTTAAGCTGATGGAATTAAAAGGCAAAAGTGCTGTGGGAACACTTCTCGAGACCAAGTTGAATCACGGATCTTGCTAGACTAAGCTCCGGTTAGGAGGAGCCGGTCCAACCCAGCACTCGTTTTCGTGTGAGCTATGTCCAGTTGACCGCAGAGTTCCTTTTCGGCAAACGTCCACACCTTTCCTGGGTAGCCCGGAAATTGTTCAAGGACATCATCAAATTCCGATGACAGCACGAGTATCAGAAATACCCTCTTATGCCATCAGCACCCCGCTGTGGTATCTCTCCTTAACATGATACACAGAACCTTACAACGCCGCTCAGTGACTTCCCAAGAATTTTTAGAACGCCCCCCCCCTTCCAGTGAGCAGTCCTCCTCCTTTCGTATCATTTCCGGATTTCCGCAATATCATCGTACTAAGCAAACGCAATTAGGCGTGGGAAATCCAATTATTAAGACCCATCGTCAACAATTTTGATCTGGAACGCTTGTATTTTGTCCACGGAAGTAGCTTTCATTACAGTTATTCGTATTTAACGCATTCCATCTTCTCTTATCCGGATCTGTTGACCATGCCTAACTATCTAATTGCTCACATTACTTGCTGATACTCGTTGTGCCGTTCAACTGGTAAAGATTAGTGTGGGTGACTAGGAAC